GAGTGGCACTATTAGGAGGCGTGGCCTTGTTGGAGTAGGTGTGGTCTTGTTGGAGGAAGCGTGTCACTGTGGAGGTGAACTTTGAAGTTTCATATATGCTCAAGCCACACCCAGTGAGACAAGACCACTTCCTGTTGCCTGCAAGTCAAGATGTAAGGCATCCAGTTACTTCTCCAGCTCCATGTCTGCCTGCATGCCACCATGATGATAATGGACTATATCTCTGAAAATGTACGCCACCCCAATTGAATGTCTTTCTTTTATAAGAGTTGCTGTGGTCATAGTGTCTCTTCATAGCAATAGACACTGGTGACGTATCTCCTCCAACAATGCCACACATCCTAATCCTTCCCAAACAGGTGCACCAACCAAACATTCCAGCGTGTGAGTCTATGGGGGCCATCCTCCTTCATAACATCACTCCTGAGTATTACATCTCCAGAGGTTTTTCACCCTGCAGATCTGAAACTCACCCTTTAACCCATATTCCCTTTTCACCACTGCAGGCCCTTGGTGATCTCCCTAAGGCTACTGGAGCTATTTTGTTCCTAAGGGTTCAACTTTTTTTGGATTCTAAAAAATGTGAGATTACACAGTATTTGTTCTGGCTTAATTCACTTAGTATAATGTTCTCCAGGCTCTTCCATATTGTCACAGATGACAAAACACCCTTTTTATTTTTAAAGAATCATCTATTGATGGACATTTGGATGATTCCACGTCTTCTGAATATATGAATTGCTATGAACATAGGAACAGAAATTTCTCTTTGGAGATGTGCACAGAAGTGACATTATTGGGTCATATAGTAGTTCTATTTTTATTTTTTGAGGAATCTCTATATTCTTTATTAGTTCTCCATGGCTAAATCTAAAAAGTGTAATCAGGGACACAGAAATCATTCACATGGTATGCCAGTGTCTTGTCACATTTACCAATACCTGAAATAATTAAAAGGGGAGAGGCTCATTCTGAATCATGGTTTCAGTACGCGGTCAGTTGGCGCAGTGCTGTTGCCTCTGTGATAAGTGTCATCCTCAGATGGCATGATGGATCACAACTGTTCACAAAGTGACCACCGTATAAGAAAGGCAAGCTTGCTTTGTGTGTCCGGGGATGCAGTGTTATGATGGGAAACAGTGGCTGCGGTGGGCCGACTAAGCCCATTTCCTACAAAGGACTAAAACTGCAGACTGCTGAGACCTGAGTGTGAGCCCATCTGCAAATCTGAAAGGATGCTACCTACTCTGAGATGTGAGCATTGTGACTTCGAGGTGGTGAGAAGAGAAAGTGACAAGAGGTCATGAGCTTTTATTCAAAAAAACAAAAGCAAAGAAAAGCATAAACTACAATAACATGCTTCTTTCAGCTAGGCCCCACTTCTAGAAAATTCTACTTCATAATAATTGAATTATGGACCCTTCAATAGATTAGTCCATTCATTAGTTTAGTTCAGTGTTCTCATGATCTAATCACCTCTGCTACGACAGGAAAGGAAGCCTTCAATGCATGAGCCTGGGGGAGACGATGCTTATTCATGACAGGTGGGAGAAGCTGAAACTTGGTGCCCCAGCTGTATGACCCTACAAGCTGGTCTGTAGAGCCTGGCTTCCCAGGTGTGACCCTTGGACTTTGCACCTTCCCTTCAAAACAGGCGTGTGGAGTTGCTGCAAAGAGGTACATCCAGTCTTTAAACTTGAAAGCATGTGGGAATTCATTATTTCTAGTGTTCCTTGAGTTCAGATGTTGGCATCTTACATTGCAGTATTTTTTTAAAATTTGTTTATTACTTAAATAGTTTAAAAACAACCTTTTCCTTGATTATCAAGTAAAAAATTAAATAAAAAGATTTTTACTTGTTTATTAAAAAAATATGAACATAGGCTGGGCAGTGGTGGCACACGCCTTTAATCCCAGCACGCTGGAGGCAGAGGCAGATGGATCTCTGTGAGTTCAAGGTCAGCCTGGTCTACAGAGTGAGTTCCAGGATAGCAAGAGCGGTCTTGACAAAAACAAACATAAATATGAACTTAAAACAGGGCTGGAGAGATGTCAGTGGTTAAGAATACTGACTGCTCTTCCAGGATGCAGGTTCGATTTACACAGATGATGGCTTACAGCCATCTGTATCACCAGTCCCAGGGGGTCCAATGCTACTCCATACCCTGCACTGATATACATAAATTAAATACACATAAAATTAAATATTTTTAATATATAAACTTATGCTTTAAAATAATTTCCTAGCATGGACAATAGGATCTGGTTAAACTTTCCAGGATTCTCTGGACTTGTACAACATAATTTCTATGCTCTTCGCTCAAATGAATTGTACTATACACAGTGTTCTTTTTCATCTTTGCCAGTACTCAAAATACCGTTTGCCCTTGGTGTCCAGGAGTGATGGATGGATAGCAGACTCCCTATAATCCCAAACTCTGAAAATGTTCAAGTCCCTTCACAGATGGAATAGTGTTCTCACAGAACCTTTCTGAATCCTCCCACATACGGTGCAAATGGTAGGTAAATAGCTCTTAGTTTGTTTAGAAAATAATGCAAGAAAAGGATATCTGAGCCGGGCGTTGGTGGCGCACGCCTTTAATCCCAGCACTTGGGAGGCAGAGGCAGGCGGATCTCTGTGAGTTCGAGGCCAGCCTGGTTCCAGGACAGCCTCCAAAGCCACAGAGAAACCCTGTCTCGAAAAACCAAAAAAAAAAAAAAAAAAAAAAAAAAAAAGAAAGAAAAGAAAAGGAGGTCTGTACGTGATTGGTGCAGATCTAATTTCCCTTCAGTTATTCCCAGTCTGAGGTTGTCTGAATTCAGGGACGTGTGAAGATAAAGGAGTCTTATCATTTTATGAACCTCCTAGAACTTAATTTTTATAAATTTGCCATATTTATCGGGACAGTCCTTTTAACAATATATAGGTGCTTTCCTTTGATCTTAAAATGCCTTGGTAATATCTTTACTAACTTGCCCAAGTCTGTCTGACAGGAGGTGCATTCCTAGAAGCTGTTGGTCCCAAGGCTGTGGTTACTTCCAATTTTGTATTCCCAACTCAGGTAAGTTATTTGAGCTATCTTGTGTCCATCACTGTAAATAACTAGATAATAACTTTCTCAAAGGGTTAAGTGAGATGGAGGTTTCAAGTCTTGTATGCAGAAAGAAGGCTCTCAACGGCTGTCCTTGCCCTGTACTTAGGAAGACAGTAGTCTGAGTTGCCCAGATGGCTCAGCTGATAAAGGCACCTGCTGCCAAATGTGAGAACCTCAGTTTCATCCCCACAAGGTGGAAGAAAAAAATGGACTCCTACAAGTTGGCTCTGAACTCGACACATGTGCTATATGCATGTACCCACCCATGCCCAACCTGTCTGTGTGTGTGTGTTAGCGGTTTTCACTGCTGTGATAAAACAATAACAACTTGATGAGGAAAGGGTTTATTTCGCTTAGACTTCCATATCACAGCTTCCATCATGGAAAAAAATGAGGGCAGTAACTCAAGGCAGGAACCTGGAGGCAGGAACTGATTCAGAGGCCATGGAGGAGTGCTACTCCCTGGCTTGCTCCCCAAGGCTCGCTCAGCCTGCTTTCTTACAGAACCCAGGACCACCTGCCCAGATGCGGCACCACCCATCATACAAGAAAATGCACCACAGGATGCCTGAAGGCCAATCTGCTGGGAGCATTTTCTTTCAAGTGAGGGTCCCCTTCCAAAATGACCCTACCCTTTGTCAAGATGACATAACTAGCCAGACTACAAACACACTCAAGAATGTTACCATGGCTGACTATAGCATTGACAATGAGCTCAACACACACACATTCGCAGAAAACTCTATAGTACCACTTAAACACTATCATTGACTGTAAACTCTCAGGGGAGTAAAAAAAATTTTTTTTCCAATGCTGGGTAGCAAACCCAAGGGCTCATGCATATTTGTCATTCGCTCTACCACCCACAGTCCAAGAAGCTACAAATTTGACAGTAAGTTTAAAAACCAACTTCCTGCGGTAATAGAATCGATTTTATTTGTCTAGAAGATGTATGTTTAATAAAAATATAGCCAGGCGGTGGTGGTGCATGCCTTTAGTCCCAGCACTAGGGAGGCAAAGACAGGCGAGACCAGCCTGGTCTACAAGAGCTAGTTCCAGAACAACCTCCAAAATCAGGAGAAACCCTGTCTCGAAAATAAAAAAATATTTTTTTCTTATAATAATAATATATATTATTATTACATATATGTTATACTATATATATTAAATACTACTATTGCAACAACTAAGGCAAATCTTCCAGTCACAACTTTTGTGAAAAAAATCTCATTGCACAATTTAAGTCATCCGTTAATAAAAACCATAGACACAACTGTGCACAAACTACTCTGAATTAAAGACGTTATTCTTTGGACTTTTCTTTCAACTTAAGGAAACCTGCTGTGCCCTCAAACCTTCTGAGGCTTTTTAAAAAAATTTTCCGACGGGCTTAAGTGGGTCATCTCACACTGGAGTCCCCAAGCGTCCAGGCCCAGAAGCCCAGGCCAGATCTCAGCCTTGGGGAAACTCCATGCAGGAGGCAGGATCTCTCAGCCCGGGAGCAGGAAGCCATTGCTCGGCCTGGGCTGGCTGTCTATGTGGCACTCGCGGTAGTGAGCCCCCCAAGCACCCCGACCCCTCCGCAGCCCCGCCATGGCCCGGGGATTCAAGACGGGTAGCTCGGGTCCCTACTCGTCCAGAGTCAACGTCGTCGTAGTCCTCCTCCTCCTCCCGCACGCAGCGAGCCGGGCCTGGGGCTCAGCGCTCGCCCCGCGAACTGCTAAGCGGGGACCAGGCCGCGACCCCTCCGCTCGCCCGACCCCGCAGCCGCCGCTCCAGCCGCGGCCCCCGCACCCAGGGCCGCGGGCGACGGGGTCAGGGCGGAGGCCTGGGCGGGCGAGGAGGCCGGGCTCCGGCCGAGGCCCCAGGCGCGCTTCCGCCGGCCGCGCCGCGCACGCCGCGGTCCATGGGAGGCTTGGCCGGCGGGGGCGGGGGCCGCGCAGCCGGGGACTTTCAGGAACTGCAGGCGCGGGCGGCGGCGGGAGTCGCCGAGCCTCCGGGGCCCGAGCGCCGAGAGCAAGGCTGAGATCGAGCCGCCGCGCCCGGCCGCCAGCCGCAGCCGAAGCCGTCCTCCCCGCCCGGCTAGGGCCGAAGCTCCGCAGCGCGGGACACCAGCCGGCCCACCGGGGCCCGGGAACCGCCCGCCATGGCCACCAAGGTGAGGGGCTCGCGGCGCAGGCCGGACCGGCCGTTCGGCTCCGCGGCGGAGGGAGGCCGAGGAGCCCCGCGCGTCGCTCGCTCGCGAGTCGCTCCCCGCCGCCCGGGCCGCCGCCTCGGGCACCGGAGCGGAGGAGCGCTGGGGTCGGGTTCTCGGGAGGCGGCTTTGCAAAGTTTGCACCTGAGCTGAGCCGGGCGCCCCGGGACGGAAAGTTCCCGGGGCTCTGGAGCCGCGGGTCTCCCGGAGGCTGTCGCACGTCGCCTGCCCGCCCGCCCGCCTCCTCCTCCGGACCGCGGCCCCGCGCACGAGGGGGCCGAGCCGGGCGGGGAGAACGCTGCAGCCTCCGGGAGCCGCGCTCCGTGCCCGCTGCCTTCAAGTCTCTCTCTCTCTCTTTTTCTTTTGTTTTTGCCATCTTTTCGGTTTGAATGGGACGTTTTCGGAGTGAATCAAGTACCAAGAGGGAAATGACTGTGCTTTTAGATTACGTGGTTGCTCGCAGAAGAGAAACAACAACAAAAAGGCCAAGGCCCAAAATGCTTAGTGGAACTTTGGTTCCTGCTTGGTGAATGGCCAGGAGTCTTGGCTTGCTTATGTTATGTTACTGTTTGTGAAATTAGCAGTCCGTTTTTGCTGTCTGAGTCTGCATAAATTCGTTTCCCTGGTTCCCGTTTCTGGTGTGGTTGGTGTCGGTAGTTACTTGGGCATGAAATAGCCACTGGGAGACTCCTGAACCTTGGAAGTGTGGACCTTGGGTCTGGGGAAGCACCATAGGTGATCACCTGATGATCTGTGATGTGTGGGTAGTACATTAACTTGTTTTGCTTATGTCAAACGTCAGCATGTTTTCCCACATTTATTTTTCAAATATCTAAGCTATTTCTGGGTTGAAGAAAACTTTTTAAGGTGGGGGTTTATGGAAGGCTAATTTAGAAAAACGTTAAGGATTTTGAAAGATGAGAGTTTCTGATATCCCTTAGTCTGTTGAAGTTGGGGCTCAGATAAATTGCGTGCTCTGAATCTGTTTAGGTGGAGTGTTTATTACAGAAGTGGAGCTTCTCCAGGGAACCTGCTACTGTTATTGTTGGAATAATTGCCTTGTTAGTATATCTGGGCTGTGTTGTTGCTTGGTTGTATTAGACATGAACCAACCGGCCACCTCTTTAACATAATGATTTTGTGACCACCTTGCTGGAAATAAGACATAATTCAAGCAAAAGATTTCTAAGGAAATTTGAATTTGAGGTTTCTTGCCAAACATTTCAGAAATTGCAAATCCAATTACATTGTTATCTTGCAGCCTTGACAGTGGTTTGTGACATAAACCCTATTCAGTAGGGGTCAGTTTGTAATATTTTTTTTTACCAATCTGAGGCACACATGCCTATTTTGCTTAGCAGCTGATGCACGTATACATGCTTAATGAAGTTTATTTCCCAGTGAAGCTTGGACTTAGCGTTTCCAGTGGGAAGAACACAGGAGTCCTTGTACTGAAGTTGAGTTGCCTGTGACCTCACTGAACACGAGTCTCTCAGCCTGTAAGCATTTCCTACTTGGTTATCTGCTTCTCTGGAGGCAAATTCCAGTTCTCCTGGCCCTTGGTGCCCTTCCCTATGTTGTAATCACAGTTCCTGGTGGTGCATTCCACGTGGAGCAGGTGACAGACCATTGCTGTCTGAAGAAGGGGGCTGGCCGGGAAGCCCTCGTGAGAAGGGAATCCTGCTGGAGTTTACTGACTATCCTAGTCCCAGATGTCAAACCAACATCCCATTTTTCAGTTGTTTCTAGAGAGCAAAGTGGTCGTTGCTGCTTGTCCCAGCCCCAATACACACCCCCTCCCTTTCCTACAGCTGAGCAGTTTGATTTTTCTCTTTCCGCCCTTTCATCATGGAGGTGGTCAGATGTACTTAGTAATGATGATGGACTGTTAGTAAGGTTTTATGCCCAAGTGGTGCTCAAAGGGCTTTTGCCATAAGAGCGGAGTGTTGGGAAGTAAATGCTTCATCTGGACCTTTGAGGAAGTAGTGCTAGGATTCCCGGAGAAGGGCATTCTCTTCAGATACAGTTTCCGTCTTCTCTGACGTCCCACCATTTTTTTTTTTTTACTTATGTGTATGGGTGTTTTGTCCACATGTACATCTGTGTACCATGAGCACATGGTGCCCATGGAGGTCAGAAGAGGGCACTGGGCCCCCTGGAACTGGAATTACAGTTGTGAGCTGCCGTGTGGGTGCTGGAAACCGAACCCTGAGCGCTCGTAACCACTGGACCATCTCTCTAATTGTCCCGAATCTCATGATCTTTAAGAGCTCTTGGTAGAGTCATAACAGAAGAAAGAAATCTTTTAGAAGAACTTTAGTTGGGCAGTTCTTCATTGCTAAGGACAGATAATCAGTGACTCTACATTTTAAAGGCATCATCCTGGTTTTGTTTCTCATCTCTCCTTGGTAGCATGCTGACCCCTGCTTAAGTGAGCACACCGGTTAGAGTTTGGTCATGTCTCATTTAACAAATACAGCGACAGGCTGTAGGAGTGCCTCTGTCTTGACCTCTGTTAGATGTCTCTTGAGATTGTGATCTGACATAATCCTGCAGTGAATTTGAGTAAACATGAGCTCACTTCAAAGATCAAGTCTTGAGACTTTTTTTGCCTATGTCAAAATGAACATAAAATAGTTATATCCATATGATTAGCTGCAAGTTCCATACCGAATTACTCTTTGTTAATTGATTTGGATCCCTTTGTGCTTACATGATCTCCTTTATAGGAATAATAAAATTCTGGCTTCTCTGATGCCTCCCTTTCTAACTTCTTTTTTCAGACCCAGTGCCTGACATTATACATATGTATATTAAGTAAGTGGGGAACATTGGAGGTCTGGATAGGAGATAATTTTATTGGACTGCATCCATGGGACAGCTTAGAAATCAACCTTGTATTGTCTTCTAAGCAAAAACCTCTTTATTTGAATTAGAGAGATCCTGCCTGAAGAGTCTTAAGAATGACAACTGAGGGGGTATGTGGTGATATTTTGTTATGGACTAATAAAGCTTGCTTGAAGATCAGAGTGCAGAGCTAAGCCATTAGTTAGCCACACACCTAAGCCACTAGTTAGACATAGAGGACAGGCAGTGGTGGCCAAACCTTTAATCCCAGCACTTGGATCTCTGAGTTCAAGGCTACCCTGGTCTTCATGATAGTGAATGGCTCTAAAAGAGAAACAGAGGTCCCACCTTTAACTCCAGCACTTGAGATGACACACCTGTAACCCCAGCACTTGAGATGACACATCTGTAACCCCGGCACTGGAGAGCATATAAGGCCGGAGCCCAGGGCAGTGTAGTGTGCAGTCTGAGGTTTGGTGGAGAGCATTGCAGTCTGCAGTCACGCTGGGGACGGGATCGGCCCCCTTTGGCCTGAGCCTTGGTAGAGGTGAGAGCTCTCTAGCAGTTGGCTGCTTTGCTCTTCTGATCTTCAGCTTGAACCCCAATGTGTCTCTGGATTTTTATTAATCGTGCTACAAGACTGAGATTGGTTTAGTTGGTGAAGTGCACATGCATGGGGACCTGGGTTCCAGAATCCTAGTTAAAAAGAAAGCCAAGAGCTCACCCCTGTAGTTAGAGCACTGGGAAGGCCTCATTGGCCAGCCAGCGTGACAGTCAGTGAGCTCCAGGTTCACTCTTCACTCACTGGCCCGCCAGCCTATCAGCCAGAGAGCTAGCTGCAGGTTTACTCACTGGACAGCCAGCCTAGCAATCAGTGAGCTCCAGGTTCAGTGAGACACAGTCTCAAAGTAAGATGGAGAACAAGAAAAGGAACCTATGTGACCTCTGTCTTCCTGCCCCCCCCCCACGTGTACATGCACGGACACACAAAGACTTTTTTGTAGTGGGAGGGCAATGTTGTTTTGACACAGGGTCTCACTATGTAACCCTCTCTAGCCTGGAACTTGCTCTGAAGAGATGGCACGCCTCTCTCTCCGAATGATGGAATGACAGGCATATGCTACCATACCTAACTGATTTGTATAGTTTTAAAAATGGTTTAGGAGCCGGGCGTTGGTGGCGCACGCCTTTAATCCCAGCACTCGGGAGGCAGAGGCAGGCGGATCTCTGTGAGTTCGAGGCCAGCCTGGTCTACAGAGTGAGTTCCGGGACAGCCTCCAACGCTACAGAGAAACCCTGTCTCGAAAAAACCAAAAAAAACCAAAAAAAAAAAAAAAAAAAAAAGGTTTAGGAGATGCTTCCTATTTACATGTGTGTAAGGGCATTTTATATGTCTTAAATATCTGTGTGTGTGTAGTCACAGGAAGATTCTGTGAGGATAGAAATGGAACACTTTTTAGTAAAGAAGGAGGAGATTAGAAAGTGTAACAGTTTTGCAAACACTGGGTTGTTTTACTGTGTTTTGCCTTTATATTGATCATCTGAAAATTAAATAATAGCTTGGTTTTAATACTTAAAACTTGGTAGCTTTCAGCAAGGTGTAGCGGTCCCTCTGTAATCCTAGTTCTGGGGACACAGAGACAGGAGGATCTGAGTTCAAGGCCAGTCTGGGGTTTGTGGTGAGACCGTGTCAAGAAAGCCCTGATGTGGTTTGTGTGCCCTTCCTTCCTGCGTGCCCTCTCTGCACGCGAGATCTTAGCCCAGAGCACCACTTCCCAAGCCTCTCAAGTCATCTCCTGGTACAGGGTCCTGACATCTTCCCAGCTGCTGATAGTGTGTGCTTGCGTAGCTGGTGGCTGCCTCCTTTAGGATGCTGTGGGCCCGGAAGGCTGGAGATGTGTTTGCTCACCTTTGTATTCCCAGTTTGGAAGAGCTGTGGGTCTACTGACACAGTGACCCATACGTTATAGCTTATTAAAGCTACAGCTCATCTCCAGCTGTAAGTTAGCAACCCTTTTTAAAAGTATGCATGCACAATGCAAAAATTACACCTGCAGCTTAGGTATTAGTAATGTTTTGAAATACAATGGATCTACTCATGAATACATGAAAAATCG